GAGAGAGAGAGAGAGAGAGAGAGAGCATGCATGAGGAAGGGGGTCAGAGAGAGAAGAGAGTCACCTACCTTAGATGAGGATGCTGGATTTGGGTTGTTCAACTCTGCACTGGTGAGCGCTTGGTGACTGGAACTCTGAAACTAATGTGATCAGTTGTTGGAATTTCTAAGCTGCGCTTATCTGGACTACGCATCTCTGTCTCCAGTGTGGACTTTGTGTGATCTCTAATTGTGTGTATGTGCTCAAGGTGATGAACATTGAGGTTCAATGCAGGAAAATTTAAAAAAAAAAGAACCAAGCCTGATATGGCAAATGGGGATGATTGTGTGGGGGCGTGGTCCCAATCCTCTTGATGATCCCTTCTCAACATTTTCTGCCTTTCTTTTTTTCTTTATTAGGGGGAGGAAATGGGGCCGTGCGAGAGGGGGGGGTGAATGGCATGTTGCCACGTGCCAGACAGTTCTACCACACATGGCTACCCCCCTCTGCTTACTCCTGTTTCTCCTTCTCTCTCCATCTTCATTGTGAACCTCCTCCCTCTCCTGCTCCACTTCTTCTCTCCCCTTTTATTCCCAAAACCGACTCCCATGGAAGAAATTGTTGATATCGTAATTATTATTATTGCAATAACCCCCTCAAATATGCCTATGTTATAGGCCAGGGGGGCCACCCGCAGGCCACGAATCGGCCACAAGGCCCTGCGTCCGATCGTGGGAAACAGAGCCCTGAAAAGAGGCTTCAGAGGCCCTGAGCCCGACAGTTGACCGAAGTCAACTGTATATCGCAATATTGAGGCTCACGAGTCGAAGTCTTCACGGACCCAGTTCAGGCCACCGATCAGACACACACACTTGGTTGTGTGCAGGTATCCAGGCAGCATTTGGTCAAAGTGGAAGTCTGTAACTGTACGAGATACAGGCCGTCGGCTGTGAGTCAATCTGAGCCTCCGCACGTGAGACACCCGAGTCCACAGCGTCAACATTATTTATTGACCCAGCCCCTGGGGTCAACATTCAGTCTTGCACTTGCTGCTTGACGCTGGCGTGACGCTGGCTTGATGCTGGATGGATGCTGGCAAGACGCTGGCTCTACGCTGGCATTGTGCGGCGACAACACGAGACTGCTGCTTTGCGTGCTGGCGCCTCTCTGCTTCTGGCGCCAGCTGTCTTCTTGGATGCTGACGTGGCTCTTGCCACGGTGTCATTTGCATTGCTGACGTGAAGCATGCCACACTGTCTTCAACACAGATTGGGATGCGACAAGGAGGGAGATCAGGATCTGTGGGATTGATTGAGTGAGAGAGAGAAACTTACCTGTTGATGCTGTCGACATTGCGCGCTGCGGAGACGCTTCATGGGAGACCTGTGCTTACAGGGCACTATGTCGTGATCATATCTCGTCAGACTCGTTTCGGGGACACTGTTTGCTGACGTGGATGTGGGGAGACGCCCGAAGCAGGAGTGGGGATTGAGGGAGTTCTATCTACAGAGACGTTGATGGATAATTCCTCTTCCACCCTCTAAGTCTATTCTCCCCCCTATCTACTTCGTCCTATGGATACGAGACACCGTATCACAGATCACATTTCATGGTTATTGGAGACATTTGTCAGCCCTGAGACTTCTTGTATTTCAACACTTTTGTAATGACCCGCCATAACAAAGACTGAGAACACTGCTGATTTCTGACGTTTTGCCAATGGAATGGATGCCTTGCTGAGATTCCGCCATTCTGCTGAGTTTTTTAAGTCTGTATGTGTGCGTGCCTGTTGACTTGAGTGCCTGTCTCAGTGCTTGTCGGCATGAGTGTGTGTGACCCGCAAGGGTACTTGCTTGTTTGGCAGGCCCGTAGGGCCGGTACTTACCTGTGGCCGTGGCATGAGGGTTGCAGCAGGGGAAAACACTCAAGTGGCGGAGCCAGAGGCCCGTGGCCCTTGCAGTAGCGGAAAAACACTCAAGTAGCAGGTAGGCCGGTACCGCACCCAGTAGCAGTAGATGTGCCGGGTACTCGAGGCCGAGCAGAAGAAGACAAAGTTGGCATTTTTAGAGGCCCAGTAGCGGAAGGCTAGGTCGAGGCCGGTACCAGTCCATCCAGTCAGAGTCTAGAGCCTGTACGGGCAATATCAGAGTCTGCAATGATGTTTCCCTCTGAAAGGGAGGAGGTAACGGTTGCTTGGGAGGCCGAGCGACCTGGA